AATAAAATGTGGGAGGAAAAGGAATGGAAGACAACTGTAGACACCAGAGATAATGTGAGAAGAAGGTGGGAAAGGGCAGAGGGTCAGACATAAGGGTAAATATATATATATATATATACTAGAAATGAGAAATTATTGATGATAACATGAATGATTAAGCCACTATGCAGTATATTCTGGATGGGAAATCACATTTTGTATGCTGTGATGATGTTAAGGCAATAAATGTAAATTAATTAATTAAAAAGAAGTTTCAGGAGGAAAAAAAACACAGAAACTGGTTTTTTTTTAATTATAAACAATGCATATTTGATGACTGTAGTAAGCTATATAGCCCCAGCTAAGTTCTACTTTATAGTATGTTCGTTCTACTAACTGAGGTTTATGTATAAAGTCAGACTTGTGTTTGTGGATATGTATATATCAGCTGCACTTGCTATTGGAAATATTTAGATTGAGTTAATTAACGAATCAATAAAATGGGGGGAAAAGGTATAGAAAACAACTTTGGATACCAGAGACTGTGTGGGAGGAGGATGGGACATGGCAGAGGGTGAGAGATAGGGAATCAAGGATGGCAAAAATAATCAAAATATATAAGAAACAAGAAATTGAAAATTATTTCTTGATGATAACACATATGTTGATGTGCTTGATTGAGCCAATATACAGTGTATTCTGGATGGGAACTCTCTTTATATGCTATAATGAAGTGTAGTGAATGAATGTAAATAAATAAATTTAAATTAGAAAATATATTTTTTTCCAATAAAATTATAGTGAACTGAAAGAAAAAAAGAAAAAGAAATCAAACAAGATGATTCTAGAGATAAATAAGTTTGTCTGTTTATATTATCATTAAATTCTAAGTACATGTATCAACTCATAATAACAGTCTTGCTATTTTCCTTACTTCCTCTTTGCCATATAATTATCCAACATACTACTTCTCTAAAGTTGGGCTTGTCTCTATCATCCTTATTTCTATACTTGCTCTCATTATCACTCTTACTGCCCAGATCTTGCCCCTTCTTTTGCTAATTCCTTTCTAAATTTCACCCATATTCAAGACTTGAAAAACTGTCTTTTTTTTTTTCACCCTACATCAGTTCTGAGAACTCTGATTTTATAACCTCCGTCTCTCACTTCCGAAGAAAAGTAAATATGAAGTTTAATTGAAAACCAGAAGACATATTTGATTGGGAGAGCAGTTGACATCTTGTACTTCAGTGACCTTTTATTAAGACTTTAAATACACAATTGCTCACCATCTCCCTTGTTAACACTTCATTTTGTTTTTGGTTTGTTTGTTTGTTTTTGTTTTTTTATTATTCTGCAATCACGTCAACCTAAGTTATATTCTAGGCCCAATGCCATTTGATTTTAAATTATGGACAAGTGATATTTTCTATCTGTAGCAAAGTTGCCTCTTCTGTAAACCGAAGATAATGATGATTTGATAAAGCCATGCTGAATATTAAATGAAATATTGTGGATAAAATACTTGTAAGTCCTTTTACATAGTGCCACAAAATGAAGATAATGATGAAAAAGAAGATGATGATGGCAGTGACAACAATTATGACAAAAAGACAACAATAATTCTTCAATGAACAATGAGAGGGCAAGAGAAATAAGAAAACTCTGGAATTTTATCTCATAGACTAAAACATTAAAGAATGTATTGCACATAAATGATTTAGAGAGGCTATATTGTGAAAATTGGAATGATCAGCTCCATCTTTATTTTATCTAATTAAATTTAACGTAGCCGGAGATGTGAATTGCTCCTGAATATTTTTCTCTCCTCCAAAATTTCTCTGACACTTATAATCACCCTACCTGTGTGCTTTACATTCAATTAAGTACCAATTTGGGGGAGGAAAAAAAAAAAAGAGTTCAGGGTAGGAAGGGAATTTTAACAAAAGAAAGAACAAGATCCTTGGGACTTTAGTGAGTTACAAATCTGAACAGCCATATTAATATTCCTACATTCCCACAGCATATACATTCACTGTGTCTCACATATTCACTAGTTTCTGGTCCTCCAATTATTCCATGTACATTGTAATATAGCATGGTTTTGCTTTGACAGGGTAATTTCCATTGCTCCTGATCTTATTCAAACTCATTCACATGTTGCGCCTTTCACTATTGTCAATGTAGAGCTTGAAGAGCTAGTTTTTAAACATGAAAGTCTAAAAGATTTATGAAATGGGATTAAGCCCTCTGAGCTATAATTAAAGTCGTGTTAAAAATAACTAATTAAATGCAAATAAAAAATGATAAGATCAAAACAAAACCAGCAGTAATTGAGACTGGAAAGAACCCTGAAGTCCACCTGGTAAAATTCCAAACTTATTTTGAAATTCTTTCCCTGTTGTCTGAAAACAATTCATCACCCTATGTAAACAACACATTTATGGAAACAAACCATTTACCATGATGATGTAAAGTATCTTATGTAAGTACTGTATATGTGAAAAGCCTGAGTCTAACTTAAATGCTATGAGCATGAACAAATAATAAAGATGTTTTGGTGAAAATTGTTTCCTGATCTGAACTGAGAAACTCTTTTGCTGAATCAGGCTATGAACCTGTCTTCCCACACTTCTGATGTCTTCCTATCCTCTTATTTGCTTCTCAAGTTCCTCCCCTTATTTTCCTGTTACCTTCCACTTGTGTTCCTCTCAGGTCTCACATATTTCATAGAATTGTTCCTGTTGTCATGAGTGAATGTTTCCTAATTCTCAGAGCAAGAGAATGAATTAATAAGTCTTCTTTTAGTCCATAGAGATTTGAGGCCCCAGAATAAATGCAAGATAGTAGCTGTAACCCTGTCAGTTCTGACACTGTGATTCATGGGCCTTCCAAATATCATCCCTCCACCACTTCAGATTGCAGTACGGTGTTGAAATTTAGGAGTATAGGGGGAAATTTTTGTGCAGAAGTCTCAGATATGTACTGCCTTAAAGTCTGGGATAAATCATGTAATGCAACATGAGTAAGATGCTAACTTACCTGTGACCTAGTGGTTAAGGGAACTAAATCCCATGTTGCCAACTACAGTCAGAAACCTCACACTACCACTTCGAAAGCTACTGTGGATGTGTGTGCACATGTGCTAAAAATCCTGATGGGAAAGCGAAATGGAGAAGGGATTGCAATGTTATTGTGCTCTAAGGGGGTTCTTTCTCCTTTTTCTCCCTGTCTCTTTGTCTTTCTCTGGTGAGTGCCCATGCCTTCTGCAATTAAAAACAAATTAAAACACTAGTTACAGCCAGAATATAATAAGACAGTAAGAAATTTTAGGTATTGTGTAGCCAATGAGAGACTTATTAAAGACTTAAGCTGTGGACAGAGTAGAGTCTATAACTAAAGATTTCGAGATGACTCCAGTATAGTTCTACACAAAAATACTGCATAGGAAGGAGACTCAATTATTTGGCTTCCCTTCATCATAATCATACTATAAGCAATAAAGCCAAAGTTATCACTTACAGTTTCTAATTCTTTAACGTGTTAGTTTTAAAATTATGCCATAGAATCCTTTGCAATAAAATAGACTGACTTAACTTTGATCTAGCTATAAATAGAAGTGTTTGGTCATGAAATAAATCCTTCTATATGTCTGTCAACAACATTAACTTTTAAATAGCTAAGGCTAAAAACAAGTCTGCATTTGTGTGACCAAAATCCCAAAGGAGAATGGATGAGAAGGGACTGGAACATGATTATCCCCAATGGGTGGTGGTACTCTCCCTCTCTCTCTCTCTCTCTTTCCAGTGTGTGTTTGTGCCCTCTAGCAACTTTTTTTAATGATAAAAATATCTCTAAAGTATGAGTTGCAATTCTGGTTGTCATGTGAGTCTCATTTACTACAGAAATTAGTTTAGAAGGAGGACAAGAGGAAGTGGGAGAGAAAAGAAGGATGAGATGGAGAAATAAAGAAAGGGGGAAAAAGTTTTTAAACTTACTTATCTCCTGGCACCTTTGTATTAATATATGCTATTGATAGCATTTATTACCTCAGTAGAAGTAATAGTTCTCATAAAGAAAATTTAGTTAATTACCAAAGAAATTTGGCATTAATAGTCTATGAAAATAAAATGAGTATTTATTTCTGAACACAAGGATTTTCCATGTCTCCATCTTCATACTTCCTCTTAGGAAACTACCAGAAAAATTACTTTGTCTTTCTATCCTCACTGGCCATGTATGGTCTCAGAATTCTCTTTGTACTTTTGTTACTTTAACAATAATTTAAATCACTTTGTTATCATCTAAACTTTACAGGATCAAGGTCTCAAACTTAGGGGATTATTGCCATAGAATGTCCCCCAGTAAAACAGACTAGGTAAATTTGCTCTATCCATATTCAATGCAAATGCACCACTTTATCATATGGTTTATGTAAGAAGTCTTCACAAAATTCATAGAAAATATTATGGAGAAACTGCAGATGGATTTAAAACATTTTTGCACCAACATAAAGTTTAACTCCATTTTTTAATTTTTAAAAAAATTTCCAGAGTACATATGTGCTCCCCATGGAGAGACAGAGAAACAGAGAGAGTACACCTAAATGGGGTGTTGTCACATCACAATCTTTTTTCCATTTCTCCATTCCATCAAAATTTGAACCATACACACACAAGCACCTGACAAGTTTTTCAAGCTTACAGAGCCATGAATCAAGTTGCAATTGATCATAAGTCCTGTGGAATCCAGCTCCCTTATCCACTATGCTATAGGGCTTGCCCATTCCAAAAGAACCTGAAGTGTCCACATTTATTTCTCAGGTATGCAATGGAAGAAAACAAAACACTTAAATCCAATGCTGTCAAATTGGTTGTGAACCTTAAATCATAAGCTCAATCCTCAATGCTTTATCTGATGGAAAGAATGCCATGGGGAGTGTTCGCCATTAGAGCTCTGAACATTTCCTAGACTACCAAGCCTGAACATGGGTACTAATACAAAGTTCAGACAAAGGGCATGGGTAACCCAGTGAGGAAAAGAAAATATCTTCAGCAAATGGTGCTGTAAAAACTGAATATCTACCTGCAGAAAACTCAAACTGGTCCTTATCTCTCAGTATTAAAAAGAAAAAAAAAAGCAACTCAAAATGAATCAAGGATCTAAACATAAAAACCATCCAGGAAAAGATAAGTGAATTGAAAAAAATGCAGCACATGTATTCTATGGAATACCACTTAGCCATAAAAACAAAATAATGAAACCCTAACATTTTATAGAAATTGGAGTTGAAGTATGGAAGATTTAATGTTATGTGAATTAAGTCAGACTATAAAAGACAGGCATTATGTGGTCCCACCTAATATGTACATAATGTCTGCACTCTAGCAGAAACTGAAAGATTGAAAGGTATAATAGCAAGGAGGTCAACTGTAGATAATAGAGGCGATATAGAAGAGGGTGGATAATAGTAGTGGGTATTAGGGGGTGAAAGAGAGGGGATCAGGGGGAAAAATGAACAAAACATTTAATAGAAACAGAATGAACGTTATCTGTTAATAATGTATATGGTAATGTCTTTGACTTGACCAATATGCATCGTATTCATGCTGGGGAAAACTGTGTTGTACACTGTAAAGATGTACAGTGATTAAATTTAAATTTAAGAATAAAATAAAATAAATGTGTGGTGGTTTCTGGGAAAGGACCATGCTTGGTCTGTCTTCCAGAGCTTTCTTGCTCTGGATCTAACCATAATAAACTGCATCAGCAGTTACTCTTATTCTTTAGTTTCTGGCATCTTTCGGTTCACCATGGGGACTGACAGTAAACAAGAATTCGGAATACAAGGTTGAGTGTTTGTTGATTCCCCAGTTCCTCACCCAATCTCTTGATATGATTTTCTCATGATCACTTTATCTCCCTAGGAAAAGGAAATTTTATGCCTGCTCCCTTTCTTCTCATGCTACACTTCTTAGTTCTGGTAAACTTTTTTATACTCTTGTCACTTCAAGTCTACAGATAAAATCAAACTTCTTCCTGTAATAATGCATATATAATACATAATATGAGGGGTTTTCAGAAATTTCAAGGAAAATGCATGTAATGAAAGATGTATGAAAAATGTATCAAAAATTGTTTGCACCAAAACAAATTTACCCATTGATTAAATTTTTCTACAAACTTTCTGGGGTGTCCTCATCTATGCTTTCGTAGTTTTTCTAAATCCTACCTGCATATTTACAATGATCCCTTCAGAAAACTCTTCATACTATTAAGTTTGAGCATGACTTCTGCTTCCTGACAGAACCTCAATTAATGCAAAAGAGATATGTCTACCTTGTGTATGTGTCTGTGTGTGTGTGTGTGTATATCACTTCCTTTTTATAAACTCTCTGCAAGATTGTCACATATAGAATTTGTGTGTTTGTTTGTTTGTATGTTTGTTTTTGCCACAGGGCTTATACTCTTGCCAGAGAGAGACAAATAGAGACAGTGAGAGGGAAAATGAGAACTCATGCCCCAAGGGATAATGGCCATGCTACAATCCTGTCTCTTCCATTTTTTTGGGGGGGGGCATGTATGCACATGCACCTGGCGTGATTTTCAAGCCACCAAGTCTAGGACTCACACTGCTGTCAGCCATGTGGGAGTTCAGCACTTTAACCAACACATCACCTGCTAACCCCCATATATTGAAATTTTAATCTTTTCTCTTTTCTTTATTGTTTTCTTATATTATAATTAATGTTCTTTTTTTTTTTTTTGGAGAGGTTTTTTTTTTGTTTGTTTTGTTTTGTTTTCTTCTTTTTTCTTTTTTCGCTATAGGGCTCGTGCACTCACCAGACAGACAGAGAAAGACATAGAGACAGAAAGCGAGAAATCACCCCCCAGAGAAATCTCCTCCATTCTCCTCTCGGGATCTTGGGCATGCACGCACACGCGCCCGGCGTGAGTTCTAAGCCACCGGGTCCAGGACGCGAACCTCGGTCTACTACGTGGGAGTCCAGCGACATAGCCATTACGCTAACTGCTGGTTCCCCTAATGTTCATTTTTTATTGTTGTTTATCATGTCTTTCTTTTCTCCCCAGCTGAGGAATGGCACCTCAAAAATCCAATTGCCTAACAGAAGACAGGAGGATACAGGCATATTTCTTTGCACATATAGTTTTGCTTCATGAATCAGTGAAAAAAAGCTAGCATTAAAGGAAGAGTAAGAAGACAGAGAGCAAGTCAGGCTAGAGAAGAAAGAGAAAAGATGCCTCTTAAAAAAAAGTTGTATAAATTTCTTCAGTGGCATTACACTTAGAACAGAATGGAAGGTAATCAACTATGATTGGCCTGGAACTTGAACTTCTATGGTGAAAACAAGACTATATAAAGTGAATTTAGGAAATAGTGCCAGGACCAGCAGAAGGTGTAATGGTTATGTTGTTAGCCTCCCACATAAGTCAGCCATGATTCGAGTCCCAGACCCATCGCCTTAAAACTTACACTGGGCAAGTGTGCATGTGTGTGTGTGTGTGTGTATGTGTGTATGTCCAAAATCTTGAGAGAAAATGGGATTGCTCATGGCCATACTCCTGGAAATGATTTCTCACTTTGTCTCTGTCTCTCTAATGAGTGCACAGACCCTATAGCAAAAATCTCTCTCAAAAAAATAAAAGTAAAGAAATAGTGCCTTTATCATGAATAAACTTTAACAGCATGAAGGAAAAGAAGTGCCTATTAGCTACTAGCTAGATTAACATCACATCTCATTTTCTTTACATATTAAAACTGCAGGGTTGGCTTGGTGGTTAAGGGAGCCAGATACCACATAGCAGAACACATAGTTGAAGGCTGGGACCCAAACTCTTGAAAAACATGGCAGGCACAAGTGTGTGCCCCAAATCCCCATGAGATGGAGAAATGGGGAGGAGAATGCAGAGCGCCCATACCCCATTTAAGGGTACTTGCTTTCTCTCCCGCTCTCTCTGGCTGGCACACATGACCTCTGGGGAGAAAATTAAAATAACCATAAATTAAGAAAAGATAACAATACCACAAACTTTCTCTTTTAAAATTTTCGTAATACCTAAATTGAGCTCCAAAAAGTGTCTTTTAGTCTTGGAAGAGGAGACAGCCTTACTAGGGATGATAGTATACTTCATATTCAGAAGAAAGTGGAAAGATTAAGTTTGTAATCATAAGTTTGACATGATAAAAAGACATTTTCAAAGGGTCCTAATACCACAGGTCTTTAGAATGTATTAAATCTTCTCAGTAAACATAAAAATATAAGATCTATGTAGAATCAAATTATTTCTCCAGGAAGTAAAATATCAGAATTAATTAGTAAGTTAATTTTTTTAGATTAATATTTTTATTCAATTTTCTTTTATACATTCAATCACATTATTTAGCTTATGAAGTGAATATTTCAACGTCTGAACATTTCTTCCTAGTCCAGTTGATAAAACCATAAAATTATCTTCAACAGATAATACATTTCTTTATCCCATTAATGCTTTGCCTCTCTATTTTTCTTCTAAATGTCCTTCCCCAGACTCTACTCTTTCACACACACTGTATCAGATATTCACATCCATTTACTGTGTTTCTATATCCTTTTGTCAATCAGTTTCAGTCATAGAGTACGGACACTCGGTATATATTGAGTGGGGACATGCAATGTCTCTCCTTCATAGCCTGTCTTGCTTCACTCAGCAGTAAATCTTCCATATTCTTCTACTTTTTGCCAAAAGCCAGGGGTTTTTTTTCCTTTTTTTTTTATGGCAGAATAGAAAGCTAAATTTTGAATTTAACAAAAATATTGAATTTTGAGAGCCAGACAAAGGCACACTGATAAAACCCAGGGCTCTCAGGGTGACCAACAAGGAAGGTTCTTGGTTCACACCTAGAGCCCTCTCTGAGTACACCAGGAAGGGTGTAAACATAATCCAGGACTGGCATTATGTTATTTTTATCTATCATTGAATCAAGAAAAGTTTTGGGTTATTTACAATAATATTTGTATGAACATGATTTCCTTTCTTTTTTTTTTTTTTTTGGAGAGGTTTTCACTGTAGGACTCAGGCTCTTGACAGAAAGATAGAGATAGAGAGATAGAAAGACAGAAAACGAGAAATCAGTCCCTGAGGGGATGGCCATGGTGCAATCCCTTCTCCTCCATTCTCCTCTCAGGATTGTGGACATGCATGCAAATGCACCCGGTGTGAGTTTAAGCTACCAGGTCTGGTACTCAAACCACAGTCAACAACATGGGAATCTGGCAACAGAGCCATTATGCCATCTGCTTGTCCTGATTTCCTTTCTAATTTGCCTCCATCTGGTTTCTATATTCCCACCAGAATGTTTACTGTAAGTTTTAGTGCTGAAATCTACTTTCTCTTTTTTTTTTTTGCCTCCTTACTCCCTGAGAAATTGAATGACCCTTACACAGCTATAGTGATGATGTAATTTAATTTTTTAATCTTTTTTTTCACATGTTTCTGCTTAAATTTTATTTTTTCAATTTTATTTTATCTAGTAGGAAGTGTGTGCAAATCCAAGAATTATGCATAGAAAAACACAGAATAATACATTATGACTTTTCCGACAACCCAATATTTTGTTACCTTACTCCATAAAGGGTATATAGTCTCTTTGGTGTAGAGTCTTGATTATTCTTATGGAATTTCCTCATTGAAGAACAGTAATTGTGCAGTCATTGCCTGAGGGTTTTTTTGTTTTGTTTTGTTTTGTTTTTTCCCTGATTTCATTCTGATGGAAGTAACCAGGCCTGTCTTATAACTTAGTGGTAAGAGAACTGGCCTCCAAGTGATTGATCATGCAGTTCAAGTCTTGTACCTGGTAGCTTAAGAAACTTAACAGGCGTGTGTATGTGCATGCCCCTCCTGATGGGATGGACAAATGGGGGAAAAGGGATTGTAGTGTAACCACACCCAATTAAAGGAATGCTTTATACTTTACTCCCTCTATTTCTCTCACTGGCAAGTACACGTGCTCTCTGACGATTAAAAAAAAAGAAAAAGAAGAAGCAGAAAAGAGACCAAAAAGATGCAATGTTTTCATTTATTCCATCTCTAGGCTCAAACATTCATTTAACCATTTTTTGACTCAAAATATAAAGTTTATTTTGCCTCAATGAAAAGAAAATATACCTAATTATCAATTTTAGTTCTACTATATTTTATCTCTGTTATCTTAGAATGGTAAGATAACTTTTCTAAGTCTTGGTTTTAACATGCAAAATTGGACTACTCTTTCAACCTGAATGCAAAAGTAGATCTATAAATTATTTGCATGAAATAAATTCCCTCTTACTAAACCTCCCAATATCAGAATTCTGAAATATCTTAAACATAGAAAATAATGACAGAAATGATTGAATATATTCCATGAAGAGACAAATTGAGTTTATGATGCATCTTGAAATGATTATGTGCCAATTATGACCAACAGTTTCTAAGCAGAGAATCTCCAGAATGAAGGAGATGGATGAAAAGGTCAAAACCATGAGAATCATTATACATTCTAAGTATGAGTAAACCGAACCCTTTTGGGTAACAATATCTTTAGGAACCCTTGTCGAATATGCTTTGTTTTGATGCTATAAATAATTGGATTGAGTACTGGGGGAACTAATAAATAAATATTGGCCATGGTTATATGAATAATAGGTGAAGAGTGTTTTGCAAAACGATGGACCAAAGATAGCCCTATCATTGGCACATACAGAATGAGCACAGCACAAATATGGGAGGCACATGTGTTGAGGGCCTTGAGCTTTCCTTCTTGAGATGCAATGCCTAGGACAGAGCGGAGGATGAAGGCATATGATAAAAAGATTCCCAGAGAATCTACACCCCAATAAATTACTACAGCAAACAAGCCAAAATAAATGTTGAAAGATATGTCACTACAGGACAACCTGATAACATCTTGATGTAAGCAGTAAGAGTGGGAGAGAACGTGGGAGCGACAGAAGGAAAACGTGGGGATACGAACAAGAACAACAGGGAGGATAATGGAGCACCTGATGACAATGAAGATGCCTATATAAATAATGCACTGTGGAGTGAGTTTGCTTGAATATCTCAAAGGATCACATATGGCAACATATCGGTCAAAGGCCATCGCTAACAGCACAGATGACTCCATCAGAGAGAATGTTTGAATAAAATATATCTGGGCTATACAAGCATTTACTTCAATCTCCCTAGCATCAAACCAGAAGATTTTCAGTACTGTGGGCAATGTGGAGACGGACATGCCCATGTCAGTGAGGGACAATATAGCCAAGAAATAGTACATGGGTTCATGGAGACTCTTATTGGTACGGATGATGTGAAGGATGGTGCAGTTGCCCACTATTGCAATCAGATAGAGAACGCAAAAGGGGATGGAGATGAGGTGATGGACATTCTCATAGCCAGGAATCCCAGTGAGGTAGAATGAGATGGGCTGTTCAGTACTGGAGTTAGTGCCCACCAAGACACTGTCCATATTCCTAAAACGTTGACTCCTAGAAGGAAAAGAAACATACAACACAGAGGAGATAGCAATTCTTGTTTTTCTAATAATTTTTGTTTTTCTTAATATTTCTTGCTCTGCAGGGACACTAAGTATACCACTTGGAAAATAATTTTTCTTGACTTATCAATTTTATTTTTTGGTAATTACTCAAAGTCACCACCCCTTTTAATAATTAGCTTTTTTAGAGGTTTTTATCTTAGGGCATGTGTGCTTACCAGAGAGAAAGAAGACAGTGAAAGGGACATGAAATATTGCCCCCCCACACACTCCCAGAAGGATGACCATATCCCAAACCCTACTCCACCATCCTCCTCCCGGGATCTTAGGCATGCACACACACATGCCCTGCTTGATTTTCAAGCCACAGGGTCTAGGAATCAAACTGCAATGGGTCATTTGTGAGTCCAGTGCAATAATCACCATGCCATCTTCTGGTCCACTACTATTTAATCTTTAAAATAGCTTATAATTATTATAAAGTAATTTGTTAATCTTTACCCTATTAATTCCAGATTTTGAGTCAATCATAGAAGTTTTTCTATCCCTAAGTGTGTAATATGTCATCCTATGTTTTCTACTAGCATTCAATAGACTTTTTAAAATTTATTGCAGAGAGGACCAGCAGATAGGAAAATAATTATGTCACTTGTTTCCCACATAGTTGACCATGGTTCAAGACCTGGACCTGGTGGCTTAAAACTCATGCAGGATAAGTGTGCATGTGTGAGAGGAGAATGGAGGAGAAGGGGTGCCCTGTGGCCATCTCCCCTGAGGAGTGACTTCTCACTTTCTATTTCTCTATCTCTCTCTGTCTCTCTGGCAAGCACATACCCTATAGCAAAAATCTCTCAAAAACTATTGCAGAAGGTGAGAGGGAGGGAATCAGGGGAAAAAAGAAACACAAAATGAAAAATTATTTGCTGAAGATCATATAGTAATATCTTTGAGCCTATACAGTGTATTCTGGATAGGAAAATCCATTTTGTATACTGTAATTATGTACAGTGAATGAAAAGAAATTTAAAAATAAGTAAGGAGAAAATTTTAAAAAATAATTATAGAGAGTGTGCATATGCAGAGAAGAGGGAGACACAAGAACACTCTTGAGAGGATTTTATCATGCCATTACTCCTTTTCCATAACCCTCCAGCTTATCAGAATCCTGCATATACACACACTCATATGTTTCAGGTCAACTTGGCTGGGATTTGAACTCTTATTGGCATGAGTGTTCCAACACTGCAGTTCAGTATGCTACAGACTATGCCACCAAGCAAATTCAAGTTTATTTTTATTTACTTTTAGATTCCTCTTTTATTTGCCATTTAGTTTTGTACATGATGTTAAGAAGAATTTTAGTTTTGTATGTGATGTTAAGAACATGTATTGGTGTGGTAGTTGAGGGTGTTGGACTCCCACATGGCCAACCACGGTTCTCCTCCTTGACTCGGTGACTTGCTTTCTTATTTTCCCTCTCTCTCACTACCTGTCTCTCACTCTGTCCCTTTCTGGTCAAATTAAAAGAAATAAATAAAGTTAAAAAAATGATTATTTTTTTGAAAATATATATATGTGTGTGTGTGAGTGTGTGTGTGTATATATATATATACATATATATATTACCTATAGCAAAAATTTATCTTCTATATATTATATATATTATATATATGATCTAATATATATAGATAATGTAATATATAAATATAATATATATAATCTAATATATAGATATATAATATTATATATATCTATTTTTTTGAAAATATATATATGTGTGTGTGTGAGTGTGTGTGTGTATATATATATATACATATATATATTACCTATAGCAAAAATTTATCTTCTATATATTATATATATTATATATATGATCTAATATATATAGATAATGTAATATATAAATATAATATATATAATCTAATATATAGATATATAATATTATATATATCTTATCTATTTGAGATTATGGACATGCATACACACGTGCCTGGTATGAGTTTTAAACTGCTGGGTCCAGGAATTGTACCATGGTTGAATATGCAGGAGTCCAGAGATGCAACCATTTCAGAATCTGCTGATCCCAGGATCTGGGTCCAGGAATTGTACCATGGTTGAATATGCAGGAGTCCAGAGATGCAACCATTTCACAATCTGCTGATCTCAGGAATGAATGTATAAAAAAATGTAAATAAATAAATACAATTATTTAAAAAGCCTAGAAATTGAAACTAGGGATGGGTACATATTTCTCATGACAAAATTGCAAGGAAACGAATGAACAGTGTCATCCTGCAAGGATTATAGATCAATTGGATTTATCTAAGAGTATGTAAAAAAGGTCTGAGAGAGCACAAAAATATATATTCAATATAATGTATTTTCTTATTCCCTCACCTTATCTCTTCAATTTTAGATTCCTAAATAACACCCACTGACGCTGGAACAGATCTATTCAAGTAAATCAAAGATCTCTAGTTACCAAACCCAAACAAATGCTTCTCCACTATGCTAATATAACTTTTAGCAACATGTGATACCATTGACCTTTATTTAAAAACACTTTGCTGAGTAATCCATAATTCAAATATATATACACACACACACATATATATATATATATATATTTACAGACATGAAAGTACTTTTAAAAATTCATAGAAAAATTATATTCAAGTATTAGTTAGTTTTGATTAGAAATTTGAATGAAATCTATGTGCACTTACTTTTTCATAAGCTTTTTAAAGATCTCTCACAGATTCATAGATAAGTTAATTTATTTGCTGAGAAAGAGAGAGAGAGACAGAGAGAGAGAGACAGCTCTTTCAAGATCTTACCGTATTGAGATGCTCCCCCCACCTCAGCCTTCCAGTCAGCCAGGATCATGAGAGTGCATGTGGGTGTGCCCAGAGTGTTCAGGTCAACCTGCAACCCAAAACGGGGCCCTCTCATATGGCTCCAGTATGTAACCCCTAAGCCATTGCTGGTACCACCATATAGGTTTCTAAATACAGTCATGAGTATCTCAAGTCTTACTACTGATTTTATTTCTCTTACATAAGAACACTCTTTTCCTAAGAAATAGTACTTAGTAATGTGACTTTATTAACTGCCTGTACATTGGAAATTCTAGTGTACCTCCCCATCCTTGACCTCTGTAATAATCTGCAGAAGAGCAGATAATTAATAATCTACTAGATATCTCTGCTTGAATAACTAAAAGGTACAGCAAACATCATATGATCAGGGAAAAAATTCTTGATAATCGCCTTATATTTTCATCTTGACAAATGCATCTCTCATCATACAGTTCAAATGTAAAATCTAGGCATCATCCTCAGTTATTCAGGTCCTCTTAACCACTACCATCTACCAACAATAACTATTATATCCAAAGTATTCCAACTTATTCATTTCTTTACTACTGTCATGATTTCTTATCTAGATTTTTCTGATAACTTCTTTACACATTTTATTCTTTTCATTATTGTGCCATCCTCCCCAATTTTTCTTGTAACAGGTAGTAAATTCTTAAAATCATAGCCAAGTCATGTCATTCCTGTGCTAATTGCTTCCTATTGCTCTCAGAACAAAGGACGACCATTTGTTATTACTTAGAAGATATTTTCTCCTCATGTATGGGAAAAGGGAGGCAGAAGTGTAGATCTGGCTTCACTCCCTCCTTCATTCCTCCTCACCTTCACGTTCCATTGCTCACATCTCCCATATTGCCTCTTAAAGCATTACCATTGTTACCCTTGTTTACCAAACTACAGGCATTCTTTCCTTCTTTCTATTCATATAGTGCTTCAAAGTTCTCTCACCACTCTCATTCAAATACATTCTGTTCACATACCTAGAATAGGCTACCACATACCATCTCACTTTACCAAATCACTTTATACATATTTTTCCCCACAAAATTCACTGCCTTTTCATCTCCTCTATACCCCTATTCCTAACTACCTAAAGCCAACCTCTTGTCTTGGGCTCACCTTTTCGTTCATCCTTTCTTTACAAATGACGGTTGTTTTCCCCTTTAGATTAGCCCTTTTTCTCCATACCAGATTTACTCAAGGGTGTAGGCCATTTCTGTTTACCCATCATTTCATTAACTTTCACTGGTTTGTTTTCTTATTCCTGGTTAGAAAATTCAAGCTGATAACAGTTTCCTAAGGGTTCTAGAAGGTGCCAGTCCATATATCTGTGATGAAAAAAGCTTTACAGTTGTGGTTACAGAGAGACCCAAGAGGCCTGATGGAGCTATTGCTACTCATGCTCCATTAGGAAGAGACACTTATGGGCCTAAGGGATGCAAGTTGTACAAGCTGAAGCTGAGGGAATTCCTGTAAGCAGGGACTGCCCAAGAAAAATCTCAACTGGGACAAAGTCAAGGAAGTCCTGACACTATTTTCGATGACTGCTTAAACTTAAATGTGTAGTGGGGAATGTGAAATTTTCAAGTCAATTTCTTTTAATAGAATAAAGGAACTATAGATAATAAAATTTGCAGGTAAGTCTTCAAATTGGGCAGGTACTATAAAATGTTCCATAAGGATCTTCTCTAGGTTAAAAGTTAACCTAGAAATAGACATGTACTCAAAAGAACTGACATATGGTCTCACCAAAGAGAGACAGAGAGAGAAAAGGAAAGAGTAAAAGTGAAAAATTGCCCTGGAGGGGCATGGTCATACTGCAGTCCTTTCTTCTTCATTCTCCTCTTGGGATTCTGGGCATGCACAAACATGTACCTGGAATGTTTTCTAAGCTGCCCGATTCAGGACTCAAAGTACACACTTGGCCATGTGGGATGCAACTGCCTTTTCCACTATGCCAGTTGGCTGGTCCTCTAGAAAACTTTAAAGAATTAATCCAAATTCTCCTCAAACTATTTCTAAAGATTAAAAGGAAGGGACCTTCCCAAACTCATTCTATGAACCTTCTATCAACCTGATCCCAAACTCAGGGCATAA